GAATATTTATTACTAACAATAGCCTATGTAGTCTAGGAACTAGGTCTATCTGTGTACAAAATGTTATCCAAATCTGCCCAGATATTATTCATTTAGAATATTAGTGTGATACAAATATTTCCGCACTTAACTCCTATATCAGAGACTAGCTGCTCACCCTCGCTTCGCTCGGGTTCGTCCCTAGCTTGATTCCCCATACAAACTTTCATCCCAATTTTCACTCCCTTAAGGGATGATTTCTGGGATAAAAAGTGTCTTATGTCCTTCCCAGGGTCTCACTATCTTTTTGCCAAATTTAATCTAAATCGGTTCAGTAGATCCAGATTACCCCCTGCAATGTCACAAACTCACAAACTCACAAACTTTACCTCTTTATAATATTAATATAGACTGACAAGTACGTCCAAGTACAAAATTATAAAACTGCACAGTGGATACTTAATACCTCGAATTAACAAGCCCATTATAATTGCGAGATGTAATTGAAGTCGTATAATTTAGTGTGCAGTGTGACCCAAGTTGCAAGCGCGAGTCTGTCAAAAGAATCAGGAAGATAATATTGTTTTTCTTTTTAATTTTTTTTTGTCATTGTTAACGATATAACACTCAAAGGTGTAATAAAAATAAATTTAAAAAATGTAGTTATTTTTTAGTATTATTACTATGCTACCATGTATATACATAAAATTAAACAATTTGTTCAATTTTTGCATCGATTTCAAAAGGGGAGGTGCTAAATTCGTGTTTATTTTTGTGTTTTTTCGCGATTCAGCGAAGACGCTGATTGTGATTTGATTTATGGATTTATTTCATTTAAAATATCAAACCCCAGCGATGAAATTACTTAAAAAAATATTTTAAAGTGCCTATATTTATTAGAAAAATTGGAATGGCAATATTTAATGAAGTTGTTTACTCGACGCAAAGTGTTCACCCCATCCTGTTTACTTCATTCATTTGAAAACATTACGCAAAAGAAGTATCGACTGTGAGTAGCTAATCTATTTCCACTACTGACTCAACTGTTATGAGAAAACAACAATGTTTCGTATTACGTTATAAACAAAAGCAAGCCTGTGTTAATTAATTCTTAGTAAATATTATTAATAGAATTTGTATAGGAAAGTTATTTTTATACATTGGTTTTCTCGCTTATCCTGCGAGAGTGTTTATTTTTTACAAGTTTTTGACCGCGACTTCGCTTGCGTTAGGAGCGTGGCGCGGTTCAAGGATAGCCTATGTCCGATCCCATTATTTAATCTATGTCCTTGCTTAATTTTATCGAAATCTATTCAGCGGTTTAAGCGTGAATGTTAGGACGGAATTACTTTTACATTTATAATAAGTATTGAGTATGGATAGAGAATGAGCGCTCCTCTCGGGTGCTAAGGTGTCTAACAGTAGCTTATGTGTTACTAGCGACTCACCCTCGCTCCGCTCTGGTTCGTCCATACCTACGCTTTAACGTTTAGTATAGATTTCTCAGAGATGCGATATTTTTCCGCGTATTTTTCCGCATCACGATGCGGTCACAGACAGATAGACAAAAATTCGAAAAACTATGGATTCGGCCTCTTTATCGATAATAATGACTATTTCAATAAGATTTTCCAAAAAAATATTTAATGTACAGATTCGACTCGGTTAGAATTTTATTATATGTATGTATAGATATGTGTATTTATCCAAATCCGTTTCAGCGTGAAGGTGTAAAAACGCACGCACACACAAACACACTCGCACACACAAACACATACGCCCGTACGTCCGTCGACCTGTAATTATAGTTCCACTAAAAAGTACGCTTATTTTTCACAAAAAATATATCTTAACTTTTTTATAAATTTATTATGTTATGTTTGAATGAATAACTCATTGAAATTCACGGGTCTTGAGTTTAGTATAGTCATCGTCATACTTGATTTTACTAGTTTATCAGATTATTTCGATTTTGTCTAATTATTGTATAATTGTATTGCCATCGTGATTATACATACAAAATTCAAGATCAAAGTACCCACCTAATAATCTTATAATATTAAAAGATCAATTCTTGTATATTATACTAACGATTCATCCTCGCTTCGCTCGGGTTCGTCCCTAGCTTGATTCCCAATACAAATTTCATCCCCATTTTTACCCCCTTAAGGGCTGATTTCCGGGATAAAAAATCCTATATCCTTCCCAGGCTCACAAACTATCTTCTTACCAAATTATATCAAAATCAGTTCAGTAGATCCAGGGATTACCTCCTACAACCTCACAAACTGACAATCTCACAAACTCACAAACTTTACCTCTTTATAATATTAGTATAGAAGTATAGGTAAAATTTCGTGTATCTCGGAAACGGCTCTAACGATTTGAATAAAATTTTGTATTTACATTACGTTTTGCTTTTAAGTTTATTCATATAGGTGTCTTTTCTGAAAAAAAACCGCAATTTTTATATCTTTTCCGAAAAACGCAGGTACTTGCATTAAAAAGTGACTATCAAGATTTGGTTAGACATTTAATTACAACTAAATAAAGCCAATTACAGAGGCATTTAAATAATGATATTTTTGGTGCTTAAAAAGATTTCACCATAGGTTATCAATTGTAACTTTCCTTCTGCAGCGGTCGGCGTATTGCCTAATTGCTATATTGTTAGCGCCTGCGAACTGGACCAGTGGGCTATTTACGAAAACACTTATCTTATTCTATCTGCGTTGTTCTCTTAGTACTAGGTAGCTCTCGTGGCCTCATTAGTGCGTTTTATGAGGTAACTAGCGTTACACCGCGGCTCCGTTCTCGCAGGGGCGGATATATAGGCTTTTTGTGCTGCGGCCTAAGTCCCTAAGATATAACGGCCCGCCCCCCTGTCGAAAACAATGGATAATATTGTGAATTTGTAAGATAAAAAAATATCTAAAATTAAAAAAGTTAAGGCCCCAAAAGATTGGCCTTACAACCCTGAGATCAGTTAACCAGAACCAAACAATAGCCATAGTATCATTATAAATTTTAGTAGTCCTCTTTAGTTCATTATTTTAATAGTGATATTTATTATTATAGGTTTTACAAAGGCGAAATGACGTTACATTTTTTATTCTATATAGTTATTAATTAAATACTAGCAGAACCCGCGGCATCGCTCGCGCTAAATCTACAGAAAAGCTCTAAAATAAGTAGGTTTCATCCCCTATTTTATCCCCTTATAGAATGAATTTCGAAAAATACTAAAACACGTATTTATTTAATTTTATTGAAAAGCATTAATACATATTTTTTGGATTGTATTATAACGTGTTTTCCCGTGGAAATTTGATAATATTACGCGGTAAAAAGTAGTCTATATCACTCTAGCCTTCAACTATCTCCACACAAAAAATCACGCCAATCCGTCTCCCCGTTTAGATTCAGCCCCTTCTAGTGAAAGAAAGACAAACAAACAAACACACTTTCACATTTATAATAATATGGATTATTAAATATATTAAAAACTGCTTGTCATTTTAGGCCTCCAAGAAGTGTCAACCAAGGGTAAATTCACGGTTCAAGGCACATAATTCCTATAAAGGCACTCGTTCTCATAGTTTATTTATGTATTACTAGGTACCTAACGTCGGCTAGAGCCTAACCGGGTCATAGTCTATCTTTGTACTGAATTTCATCACCGTTTCAGCGATATATTATTATGCTCAATTCATAATATCGATATTTTTTCTGATTCTTTTTATAAATTTAAGAATGCCATAAAACTTAAGCTTCTTCATTCCACTAACAATGGTTAATTGTTTATTGTTATTATTAAAAAAAACACACACATCTTCAAGTTTTTGTTTGAGTATATACTTACTGTTAACTTTAATTTCAATTTTATTTTTGATCACTAATGTAAACTATTATTATTAAGTTACTATGTTGTTGTCTTATTAGAATGCAGTGTTGCTTATAATTTGGGCATCATTAAGACTAGATCTTCTTTCGTTTATTACCATGTACAATTGTAAGGATGTATGCTCTGTTAGCGACCTATGTAATGAATAAATAAAATAAATAGATATAAAGTAACATACACACATACACGCAGACTTTAACAAATATATATTAGTAATTCGAATTATATGATTGACGAACCTATTTGTCTGTTTGCTTATTTTGATCTAGAAAACTATGTCAAGGGTTTGGTTCTTTAAACGTTGTTATATAAGTATGCAATTGAGGAAAATTATATTAATGTTTTTACTTATTGATGTTGATACTAACTGTATAAGATGTGTCATGTTAATGATGCTATATTTAATATAGAATACGTTGAATAATGCATTAAATGAGAACAATATGTATATATTCAGCTTTTTTTATAAGTAAATTCAGCCCTTTCTAATATATAACTGCTGGGTAATGGGTCTAACAAAAATGTGACTTTATACAACTCAATGGGACCACTCAAATTCAAAATAAATATCCATCCCTGATGGTGTAAATTAATTATCTATACTATTTTAGACATAAATTTAAAAAAAAACTTTCCTTAAATGTAATTTTTTTTATATAAGTTTGGAATCGGTTTAGATTTTGATTATTAAACTATTTGTTACCTGATAACCCAAGAAGGCGTGTATGTCTGTCTCTGTAGACACAATCTATAGCCATAACTATGTAATATGTTTTAACATGTCGTTAATTATTACGTACATTATTTAAGTAATTATTTACCTTTACAATCTTTATAGCGGTTAAGAAGAGGAGATAAAGAGGAAGAGAGAGTGCTTTCACTTTGGGAATCAAATATATTATTATGTAGAGTTCACAATTCTTTTGCGTGCTAACTTTGTTATATTATATTCCTCTATTTAGATGAAAATTTACTAAAATTATCAAACTAATTTACATGCGAAAACGGAAAAACAATGTTTTAAAATATTTTTTTCTATGGCCATAAAATACTTTTAACAACTTCAACTAGCATAGCAATAATTTACGACCCGACTAACGAGTTTGTCGTTTTCCAGGTGTGGCACAAAGGCTGTTTCAAATGCCAGGAGTGCGGCATGACCCTCAATATGAGGACCTACAAGGGTTATGGAAAACTGCCGTACTGTGAAGCGTAAGTATAACTTAAAAGTATCTATAACTTCTCCCCCTACTAAGATCCTGAGTTTAAAAGTTCGAAAATTGTCCATATTGTCTATCCTACTGAAAGCTTTTTAATGTTCCCTTAATAATAGCCTATACGTCAGTGAGTTTCTTTAAAATCGATTCAGCCGTTCCAGAGATATTGGGGACGGTCAGGTAAACATTTTTAAAAGTCGTTTCGTAAGCTTTAGTATCGTGGATTAGTGGTGCGCGATTATGATATAACTTTATAATAGAAATAATCGACTTCGCTTAAAAAACAATCGAATGAATTCTCGATTGTACTACATATGTTACCGATTGACAGTAAAAACGAGTGAGGGTATGTCGCTACTCTATATCTATACTAATATTATAAATGTGAAAGTTTGTGAGTATGGATGTATGTTTGGTACTCTATCACACCAGAAATGCTGAACGGATCTGGATGAAATTTGGCACAAAGATAGATTATAGTCTGGAATAACACATAGGCTACTTTTACCGGGAAAAATGTACGGTTACCGTAGGATAGGTTTGTTTTTGTCTTCCTAGAGCGAAAGTCTTCCGCTAGTACGAAATAAATCATCATTGAAACACTTGCTGCTATTATTTTATTAGTGGCCATTAAAGAACGCTGATATGATTAATCAATGATTATTATGCATTTAAAAATTCATATCACGTCATTAAATGCTGTCAGATAGTTGAGTCATATAATTACAAGTACCGACAGAATAAAAGTATTATTTAATAATAAAAAAAACTAGTCTTTTAATTCACCAACTTTGTAAATATGAACATTTTTCATAAATGCATGCAGTACTTTCTTACCGTATATTTTATACTCGTTATCTATATGGATTTTACACCTCTAAGTACGATATGATATAGATATATATTTTGAATTGTTTTATACAATAATTGTGGAACAAAAAAGTGTAAAATTGATCATTCATATAGATCATTCATGTAGATATGATTAGTGTTCATTGACACATGTATTTTTTTATAAACTTTTAGTGACAAAGTTTGGACAGTTAATATGACTGAAGGACTATAATCAATTTGTTACTAGTAAGAGTGCTAAGACACAGATGGTTTAAGAGGCACGTTTCTTTAATAACTAAATTAAATTAAAAAAGGAAAACGACCATCTTGGACCGATTTTCGTCAAACATAGCTAAACAAAAATCAAAATCGGTTCATCCGTTCGGGAGCACGTTGCCACAGACAGACACATACAGACACGTCGAACTTATAACACACCGTTGTTTTTGCGTCGGGTTAAAAATGGTCACCTATCAAATGATTGCCGCAAACACAGTTGCTTAACTTTGGCTATTAGGTAAAATATAAGTTCCCGCCAGTTAAGCAATGATTGTCATTTTTTATGACTTTCGCACTAGTACTAGCAATATGTGCACTTTCTAGTATTTCCACGCAAGAGTATCGATATTCAACTAAACCCAATGAAGTGTAAATTTTAGCCGATTTATAGTTTCATAATTTGTCTCATTACTCAATCGAATTCATTCAGTGCACAGTATTCCTTTACATAGACTGTAGAATGTAATTATCTATACATACAATTAAATTCTAAGTAAGCCGAATCTGTACATTTAATATTTTTTGGAAAATCTTATTGACATAGACATAATTATCGATACAGAGGCCGAATCTATAGTTTATAGATTTTTTGTCTGTCTGTCTGTCTGTTTGTTACTGCATCACAGAAAAACCACTGGAGGGATTTTGATGAAATTTGGTATGATGATAGCTGGTTATCCGGGTGAACATATAGGATACCTTTTTAACGTGGTAAAATATCTCGTTTCTGAGAAAGAATACAAAAACTGCAGTGTAGAAGCTAACAAGAGTATACTATATATAAAACTAAAGAATTTGGTTTTTGGTGCCGCGGGCAATGCTAGTTTAATTAATAAGTACATAGTAGGAAAACCGTGCAGAGCATGTTCTCAAGCATATTTTTTAACGATGCTAAGTCACGTTATGGCTCCAACATCAATTCAGCTCGATTGTACCAAATTATTGTATTGTCATCACATTGATTCGATAGTTAAGAGTGGAATGAAATAAAAAGTGAAGTTAAAGCTAATTATTGATATTTATTTGGGACACTCCTTGATGTGTAACCTACTAGCGACAATTGTTTGTAATTCATTTCATCGGTATATATATATATATCTACCGATAGTAACCAAGATAAGAAGTTACATACCAACAAAAAATATTGACAAATTAAGTAAGTAACCCTCTTTTTGAAGTCGGTTAAAAATGACGTCGATTAAATATTTCTATGATGCACCAAAGAAAAACAAACCAATAAACACTTAGTATTTAATTATTATGTCTTTATTTTATTTTTTTATTTAACTGTTAAATTTTAGATTTTTTTGTACCGACCGTACACACATAGTTTGGATGAATGGTGGGTGCGTCTAGCAATTTGCTTCATGATTCGTGAATCACTACATCACATGTTTTCAACAGTACAATGCTTACTTTATAGATTAATTATAATATAATAAGATATTTTGTAAAAAAAATAGTATAAAAATAGGTTTTTTATAGTTTTAATCTATTATAAATATCTCGTGTCATGGTGTTTGTGGTCGCACTCCTTTGAAACGGCTCGACCGATTTTAATGATTTTTTTATATTTAGTAGTTATAAGAATATGTCGTAAAATATTTTTCAACCTCCTACCCCCACTCCCCATTTTTAATCGCAATTATATGAACAATATTATATCAATACATAGTGACGGGTTCTTCTAATAGTTTTATATATTTTTATATAAATATTTTGGATTCAAAACTGCTATTGCCATAAAAAGAAGAAAAATCCACAGCTGTAAATCACGTGAATATTTTTTACAGCAAAGCAAAGTACTGTAAGTGATAAAAAACCTGAAAGTCATAGTCATAGAAAGTCATAAAAAAATGCCATATCTAGGAACACGTCTGTGTAGCTTTAGGCAGAATCGTTAGTATAATATGTTTGTCAAAATTTAACCGAACATATCCTAATACGTAGATCTTAAAAAATATGTATATTGTATATACATATCCAGGAATTAGATGATAATGCGCACGCGCAACGGCCGCGCGGTAGCGTTCCGAAACGAATATAAAGAATTTCGCCTAGTTACAACATGTACGAGTATGTAAAAATGAAAGTGACCAATAAAAGGTTTTATGCAATGACATCCGTTAATGTCACATGAACACTTTCCCTACAATATGAACTCTAATCCATCGCAATATGGTTCACATATTTTATTTTACGGTTTGTTTATTATTGTGTGCTAATTTAAACCTTATTGTACTTTTTTTAAGGTTGATAATCCAATTTTGGTACAAAATCGGACTGACTTTGTAGGGAAGTACGCTTCATTACTTACAATAGACGTTGTTCTTGTATTCCCTACATATAATAAGATAGCGGTTGCGTCTGTTCATTGAATTAAATTACTACACTAGTAGTTCCGCGTTACTTTTGTTTGTTTTTTATTTATTTTGTTTTGAAACAATCATGATTTCTTTGAGTTAAATTTACTAGATTGTAAGTTAAGAAAATGTATGGGTGTGGTGTTTTAGTGGCCAACATGGCTCCATATCCTGGCTTCGAATTCTGTCGTGCCAAGTTTAGGTAGGGGTTTTCTGTTAAGAAATTCTCAGTAACAGTACGAGGTTGGGAAGTTGGCGATGTTTCACCCCCGTGCCTCGGAGAGCACGATAAGCCGTCGGTCCTGCGCCTGATCTCTCATCGGTCGTGGCGAATTATCGTGTCACCAATTAGTTTGTGAGTTTCTTGAAATTCGAAATTTTGAAGTGAATTTTGCAATGATACTTTGTAAGTATCTTAAATTCAGATGATAAATAATAACACAATAACTCAATAGCAAAAATCAACCCTTTTTTTTTGATGGAACTGGAAGATGGATGATGAAATCCTTCAATGGTACAATCACTCAAAATCGTGTTTGGTATCCTCCTTGTCCAAAATGTCACCTATAAGAGTTATATACGTTTTAATGAAATTGCAATCCACCTTCTCTCTCAAATTACAAAAACGGACAGACAAAATTGACTAAATTTTTAATTTGTAATGTTATAGTAAAAATAATTAATAACCAAAACTACGAGTCAACGCTAGTTTCTAACTATTTCGTAATATAAAATCGAACATTCAGATTTCTCATTTAAATACGATATATATCTTGTGTTAGTAAATTTAAAGTACAAAATCGCTCATCAATATGCACATCACAATAATTGGCATGCACAGTGCATACGTCATTAATGTTCTGCATCCGTACGCTGATATTATGTCATGACATTATTTTATGATGTGGGTCATGTTTGATCCGGTGATGAAATGTTTGTTATTATTTATTAATATATTAGCTATATACTAGTACTTGCGAGTGGTTCTGTCCGCATGTACAGTGTTACCCGACTGCGGCGAAGTCCGAAGTATGTATGTTTGTATGCCCGATCCTATGTTCCCTCGTAATTACGTAACGAATTAACCAATCTTAACGAATTATGGTTTGGTAATGTGTATAAAAATATAAATGGCGGATTTTTGGCGCCAATTTAGGCATCTTAATGGTTTTGTTTTTTTCAAATTATCGTAAGTTTATTTATGTATGGTAGGTTTTAAAGATTCGATCACAATAAATGTACGTCAGTCACATCATAATAAAAACCCATTTTTCTAACTGGTCAAAACTAAAACGCTGTGAATAATAAATTAAATTACCGAAATAAAAACCCGGACCGACCGAAGGTGAACTAAAAATATGGAAAAAAGTGTAGTTCATTTTTTGTTTGTGTATTTATATTGCCAAAAATCCTTTCTTAGCCTATTCTTACACACTGTAAAGAGCCCCAACGTCAATATCTACGAGTATGTTTTTGATTTAATTATATTTTCATAATTTCACATACTCCATTCTTACTTCTTAGTACCTACATACCTTATTTTTATTAGTAAGAATTCTCAAAGTTGGTATCTAATTTCATATATGAGGCATTTTATAGCTTCCGTAATATTTTACATACGAAGGGTCTTTAGGAATGCACTATAGCAGTACTCGCGGCATCGCTCGCGTTCAAACTTCCGATCGCCACCAAACTTCACAGGATCACCCTCTGAAAAATTTGATCAAAATCGTTTCAGTCGTTTGAAATCTATAGAGAACATACATAAACACATTAAATTTTATATAATATTATATAGATAGAAAGATTAATGTATAATGTACTTATCTTCTTTTATTCATGACTCTTTAAAGAGTTTTAATATTGTTGAAAAATTCATGTCATTTGAACAATTTTAAATTGTTCAAAAACATTATGCGAAATAGCAGTAACCAATTACAATTTTCCACACTTTTACTCGACAGTGTGCTCATTGAACGTTTCTTTTGTCACTTTCTTAAAATGCTCCGATATCATTCGTAGTTGTTACTTTGATTTATTATGAAGCGTGGAAAGTTTGAAATTTTGTTTTTATAACATTCACACTCAATGTCCGTTGAGATATTAGACACAGGACTCCGACTCATGGGATTGTAACACCGCCATCTTCCTAACTCCTGTCTGTTTCTGAGTTATCCTGAAAAAAAAAACAAGTTACTATTTTGGTCCGACTGGGACTCGAACCCAGGTATTCTAGATTTATATTCTATGCTAGCTATAAATGGGCGGTGAGTCTAATCAAAGTAAAATGCATTTTCCATATTTCTACAAAGTTTCTAAATACATCTCTCACGTTAATGATAGGATTTCTAGCTAATGGGCTTCATTACGATGAATATTATTAAGTTAGATGTAATGTATCGTATTATCTTTATTTATCTATAAGAATATAAGTTACTACCATTTGCCCGTGTCTCTACCCGCCTAGTTTTAATAAATAACGGATTTTCATACGAACCTCCAACCACTTTTTTACCCCCTTTAGGTTAGGGACTGAATTTCCAAGAATTCTTTCTTAATTATACCGGAAATGATCCCTTAATAAGTAGGTGAAAATTGGAATGAAACTTTGTATAGGGAAGCATGCTAGGAACGAACCCAAGCGAAGCGAGTGTGAGTTGCTAGTATTATATAATATCTTTATGGCAAGCGAAATAATTTTGTCTTGCCCTTCTGTCTGTCTGTATGTCACAGTGAATTTCCTTGGAGATTGTTAGTACTATATAGATTTATTCTAAAAATAAGATAGATTTTAGATTCTATTATAACAATTTAGGATCACGTGCAAAAAGACGGGTCGCTGACTACATACATAGTTAATTTAAATATTTTTTTCAACCTTTGAAACGCATGTAACATGAATAGACGAGCAATTTAAAAGCAATAGTAATAATAGAGCTATATTGGTAGCTACTATCTAGCCTATGCCTGCGACTCAACTCGCTCCGCGCATATTCTGGCTCACTTAAAAAAAAATGGAGCAGCTCAATTCTTAGTAGGTATATTTAGCTTTTTTGTGTGTAATATGTTACAGAGGATTGAATATATATCGGATATGAAGCGGTTTTAAAAAAAACCCACAAAAAAAGGTTCTACCTTACGGGTGGAAAAATAATTATATTTTTAAGTGATTTTGAAGTCGGTGTATGTTTTTAATAAAAACTATATACCAAAGTAAAGTAATATAATTTTTTTTTTGTAACCTTTGCCTCTGTAAATATGTGAAAAACTTTTCAAGATTAATATTAAACTAATTTTTGTATCAATTTAGAAATTTGTATCTGAAGCCCGCATAATAACTGCCAGAGAACGGAAGATGTGGGACTCTTCAATATATACTAGAAAGCCTTTCAAGTTTGGGCTCATTTGTTTCGTTTTTATGAGTCTCATGTTATAGGTTGTGAAAAGTATGTAGTTAATAGGAATTATTATAATCATTATATCACTAGCGACTTACCCTCACTTTGCTCGTGTTCGTCCCATTGTATATAGGTGCGCGGATTTTGCAATTTCTTTTTAGATTTTTTACGCGGAACCCTAATTCTTTTTCTAAAATAAAAAAAGCCTCTGTTACTCCTAATAATATTAGCTATATAGCATTTACTAAAAAGCTGTTATTTTGACGTTACAAACAAACACTTAATTTTTATTTATCTCTATAGATGAAGTTTCCAATTGCGGCTGACTTGGACTGACTAAATGAATTGATTTTTTTATTAACGATGACGGGTTCAAACCAGGCTCGACAAATACCTTGTTATTTAATTATTTTTTTTTTATATTTCTAGACACGTGCCCAAAGCTAAGCCGACCACTATGGCCGAAACGCCAGAACTGAAGCGGATAGCAGAAAATACAAAACTACAGAGCAATGTCAAGTACCACGCTGATTTCGAGAAGAGTAAGGGGAAATTTACACAGGTAATGTGATGTCTACAGTCTAGATTTCAAATTTAACCGATTTTAATTATTTTGTAACCAAAAAAGTTCACAGTCTTTAAAATAAATTTAATACAACCACTTTAAGCAGCTTTAAGCAACGGTCTTTAGAAGTTTTTTTTTATTTTATTTACAAAAGCAATCATGAAAACCGGCTCACATATAGCATACATAATTATTAGTGCGTACACGGTACAACCAAATTAGTACCTCTCCGTTTTTGAAGTCGGTCAAAAGGCAGTTTTTTTTAGCTCAGATCGTTAGAAATCTAACTTTCAACTGAACTTGTCACCTCTAATAATGTGTAATAATTTACTTTTAAACTCATTTTAAAATTAAAACTTCATTTTTAGCAGAATAACTAATAAGCATCGGAAAAATTCACGAAATTTTTTTTGAAAAAAAATATCTATTCCATACTAAACTCCAAAACGTACCTAGGGATTATAAGAAAAACGACAGAAGCTTTATGTAAGGTTTTATTAATAGTCTACACTGATGGAAAATCGGAGTGAGAAATGAATATCACATTCACATATCTGCTGCCATTATCGAGTCGGTTCTATCGTAATTACCCTCACTCCGTCACAAAAACAATATAGTGTCCATATTGATTATTTCTTAAAAGTAAAGTCAATAAAGCAACTTATATTAACTGAAATGTTCATACTAAGCATAAATAATTATATGAATATTAATGATTAACAATACTTAATAATCTAACAATAATTAATTATCTAACATTCATATCTGCTGCCATCATCGAGTCGGTTCTATCGTAATTACCCTCACCTTGTCACAAAAACAATATATCGTCCATATTGATTATCCATTAAAAGTAAAGTCAATACAACAACTCATATTAACTGAAATGTTCATACTTAGCATAAATAATTATATGAATATTAATAAATAACAATACGTAATAATCTAACAATAATTAATTATCTAACATTCGGCCATCCTGGCAAACAAGTTTGTCCTCAAACTAATGAATTTCAGTTCTCATCATCTAGTTGACACCTCGCCCCTCGTCACCCTGATCGTGTGATACTTCCCAACCCAAAATGGCCGTGTTGGCATCTACACCCCTCATTACTAACTGTCATCAAGTGAAGACCAACCTCCGTTCCCTTAGTTGACATCTACCACCCTTAATACATCATAAGGTCTACACTAGCCTTCTCAACCCAGACACAGAAATTGGCACTTCACAACTAATCACTAGTAGTAATCGTGCGAGTTTACCAACGCCACTGAATGAGTTGACACATCACCCCTCACCAAGACAGTGACCGTGCGAGACTTCTCAACACACAATTTATCTATTCATCTCCTTTTTCATATCACTCTTTTCAACTCAACTTATCATCAACATCAACATCAACTTCTCAATTTTAGTAATTTATAACATAATGTGCACATTTCTATTCAACATAACTTAAATTTTAACAATATAACTCAAGTACAATCTTTCATTAATTTAACAAAATCCGATTATATTCTTAATAATATATAATTTTAACATTCAACTATATTTAAAATAATATTTACTTCTCAGGCACATTATATTAATCATTATTCTTATTTTTTTTTTATTACAGAATATAAATAATCAATACAGAAAACAGAACACTACTAAGAATATTATATCTCTTATAATATTTAATATAATAACCTACTAATTTAGGAGCTGAGTTCACCGTCAGAGTTATCACTTTCATTAGTTATAGATATCCAAGGTTGTATGCGATCTGCTGCGCGTTTCCGCTTGGCGTTTTTCCGGTACCTTTATTTAGAGTATTATTAATTCCCCATTGAATTTTACATAGCTCTTGGTCCCACTTATTTTCACCTAACTGGTCGTTATAAGTTCTAAGTGAATCTAAAATTGTTCTATTATAGCGCTCCACTTGGCCATTCGCCCGTGGAGCTGAAACCGCATTTAAAACGTGTCGTATTTCGTATTCCTTACAGAACCGACTAAACACTGAAGATGTAAAACAAGAACCACGATCCGATATTATCCTAGCAGGATGTCCAAACAAACTACATACTTCCTTTAATGCTCTAACAGTCGGTTCAGCTTTGGTATTTCGGAGAGGTTTAAGCACGCAATATTTTGTATATCCATTAACAATAACTAATAAATATTGGTTACCCTTTACACTTCTTACAAATGGACCTAAATGATCTACATGGACCGTATGATATGGTATATCTATTTTAGGTATACTATGAAGAAAGCCTTCTTTTGGACCTGCCGGTTCTTTACTAAACGCACAATGTAAACATGATTTTACGTACTTTGAGATAAACTTCCTCATTTTTGGAAACCAAAAATCTTTTTTAATCTTTTCAAGGGTCTTTTCTACAGAGAAATGGCCTATGTCATCATGATTTCGTTGGCATATTTGCCATCTGGCATCTTTTGGAACTACCCATTTCAAATCGTCCCCTACCTTACGATATACTCTATTATTTTTAATAATGAAATTTTGTTTAATATCTAGTAACTCATTATATCTAGAGTCTTCCAATACAGAGTGAATGTGTTGTATTTTAGGATCAGATAATTGAACACTAAGAAGCCAATCTTCTTGAGATATTTGTAGGACTCTATGTGATCATAAGTATACAATTCATTATTACTGGGAGCGGGATTACGGCTTAAAGCATCTACATGCTTCATAGTTTCACCGGGCCTATACTCAATTACACAGTCGTATTCCTGTAACGCTATCCACCAACGCGCTACTCTAGGTATAAGATCTCTTTTTAAAAACGTGGATCGTAATGCATTGCAATCAGTCAGAATTTTAAAATGTCTACCTAGTAAATACGGGCGAAACCTATTCAAGGAAGCTACAACAGCGAGAGTCTCGAGCTCATAAGCATGTAATTTTTCTTCGTCAATAGTTGTTTTTCTGCTAAAATATGCTATAGGTTTAAATCTAGCATCTGAACTTTCTTTTTGTACTAAAATACCACCTAAACCAATTTTTGACGCATCACAATGCAATTCTGTTATATAATCTGGATTGAAAATACCTAATATCGGTCGCTCAGTTAACTTTTCCTTTAATTTTAAGAAAGCTTCTCTCTGTTGTTGCTCCCACTTCCACGATATACTTTGTTTTGTCAAGTCGGTCAACGGTTTAGCAATCGAGGCAAAACCTTCTATGAACTTTCTAAAATAACTAGCTAATCCTACGAACTGTCTTACTTCGTGTACAGTTTTTGGCTCTGGAAAATTACTTACGGCTGTTATTTTCGACATTCCCGGCTTAATTCCCTCAGCGGATATTTCTAGACCTAAATAATCAATAACAGTCTCAAAAAATTTACACTTTTTAATATTTAAAGTTAGTCCAGCTTCTCTAATCAAATTAAACGTTTGTTCTAGTTTAAAATAGCATTCATCAAAATCTTTACCGGCAATTAATAAATCGTCCATATAAGCAATACATTTTTGTTGAGACTTGTTTAGAATTTTGTTAATTGTACGTTGGAAAATAGCTGGACAATTAACTAAACCAAATGACGCCCGCTTAAACTGATAAAGACCATCAGGAGTAACAAAAGCTGTAAGATGTTTACTTTCTTTTTGAATAGGTATTTGATAGTACCCGCTAGCCATATCCAAACATGTAAAATAAGAATTACCGCTTAGTAAATCTATCTGGTCGTCGATTCTAGGTAGTGGAAAATGATCCTTGACAATTTTGCGATTTAATGCTCTATAATCGACGCATAATCTAAACCCACCTGTTTTTTTTGATACCAGCAAGATAGGACTCGCGTAAGCTGATTCAGATTCTTCAACTATATCATTGTCAACTAAATCCTTAACTAGACTTCTAACTATTTCCTTTTCGGACAGACTGAGTCTATAGGGCCTATAAACCACGGGCGTTTCATCGGTAAGTTTTATAGCTAACTCCGAAACATGTGTACAACCAAGCTCAGAGAGGTCCTGTGCAAAACAATCCCTGTATCTATCAATAAGATCGTATACCTTAAATTTTTGTTCGCTAGATAAGTCATGATTGATTTTTATTTCCTCATATTTTATAGGACTTAAAGTGGTACTAGTTTTAAAACAATTAATTATTTCTGAGCTATTTGTATTATCTTTTTCAAGTACATAAACTCTAGCTATTATGAAATCTTTTGTGAGATATAACGGATTATGAGAAATATTAACTATGCTTATGTAACACTTGTTATGACTAATTACATAAACTCCCTCTTGAATGTAATATTCTTTTCCGTTTATATCGCGATAACTCCCTTTAATGTATACAGTCGCGTCTGTTACGTCAATGCTGTAACATTTAACTATGTCTACTTTATTTATTTTGCAGTCAGAAAAAACATATAACCTAAACTTTAATATTGGTTCATGTTCTAAGGTAGTAAAATACGGACTGAAAGTTTTATATAAAATATTTAAAGAACATTCTGTCTTTATAATTATTACATTAGGCAACTCAGTAAGGTTTTGTCCTATCAATAGTTCTGTATGTAAATAACTATTAGGTACTATATATGCCATTATATTTGCCTCAACAGAGTCAATACATATATCAAAGTATGTTTTTCCTATAGGATAAACACTTATATCTCCAATTCCTCGAATAACTGGTAATGAATCTTTCGAAACTATTAAACCTAACTTTACTACACTGTCATATCTTATGAGTGTACAATCACTACCTAGGTCGACAAAACATTCTAGATTAAACTTTTTATTTATAACCACAATTTTGTAATACTTAGATTTATTTGTATTCACATTATTCTTTATTAGTAAAACACGTTTGTCATTATTATTCACCAAGTTTGTAGTTTTCTGAGTACAATTAAGAGACGTATGACCAAATCTACTGCATTTATCGCATTTTAAAACCGGTTTTTGACACTGATACACTCTATGTCCTTTTGGTCGCAGATTTTCTTGCATATTGATTAGATTTGTCTTGCTCCGCCACATCAATAAGTCTAGGCTGTGACGGTGTTTCGTGAGCGAGGTCGTTTGGATTTATGCATTTTTTTTAAAGTGATCCGGCTTCTGATATAAGAAAAACGACAGAAGCTTTATGTAAGGTTTTATTAATAGTCTACACTGATGGAAAATCGGAGTGAGAAATGAATATCACATTCACATATCTGCTGCCATTATCGAGTCGGTTCTATCGTAATTACCCTCACTCCGTCACAAAAACAATATAGTGTCCATATTGATTATTTCTTAAAAGTAAAGTCAATAAAGCAACTTATATTAACTGAAATGTTCATACTAAGCATAAATAATTATATGAATATTAATGATTAACAATACTTAATAATCTAACAATAATTAATTATCTAACATTCATATCTGCTGCCATCATCGAGTCGGTTCTATCGTAATTACCCTCACCTTGTCACAAAAACAATATATCGTCCATATTGATTATCCATTAAAAGTAAAGTCAATACAACAACTCATATTAACTGAAATGTTCATACTTAGCATAAATAATTATATGAATATTAATAAATAACAATACGTAATAATCTAACAATAATTAATTATCTAACAGGATGAGGCTGAGCGAAGCGAGAGTTAGTCACTAGTTTCTAGTATAGGCTGATTACATAAGCCTATCATATATATTTTTTATTTAAGTACGTAGATATTACCTTTGTAGCATAAAAAGCCATTTTTTTGCTGTTTATTAACAATGGGTGACACGACATATAAAGTGTTAATCTATTCTATTCATTTGAGGAAAACATTTGTTTTTTCCCGGTTTGAAACTGCTACTTATTAACAAAACTTCCATAATAATAATTATTTTTAAATAAGACACATTGGTAAAATAACCTACGTGTCACTCCACTAATAGTCTTATCTGTGTACTTTTATCCATGATTTTTATAATCCAGCCGTAACTGGTATTTATAATATTATGTAATAGACCGACTGACATTGTTCATGGGATGGGGTTTTCTAATGCGTTATTATTTACAAAATTGCTTTAATGTAATCTATTCCAGGTGGCAGATGACCCAGAAACTCTAAGAATCAAAGCGAATACAAAAATAATCAGCAATGTGGCGTACCACGGTGATCTGGAGAAGAAAGCCCAAATGGAGAAACAGAGACAAATCAACGAAAACGGAGAGATCGTAGGTGAGTCATCCATACACTATATCACGTGTTGTGATTTCATTTTGCACTTTGAACGTCCGTTTGATTGTTTTATAGACAACGTTAAACATTGCTATTTCCACGTTATATGATCAATAAGCTTCAATTTATATTTAGTTTTTTTTTTTTATATTTATACACTTTGTTAATGAGTAATGGTATCTAAGACAAACATCCAGTTGATTACACTTCATTCGAACGTCTATGTTAAATGTTGTGACACAAACTCTCACTGTTTTGCACAAATCCATTGTTTTGGGGGTCGTGGGACTCACCGCCATGATATGACTAATTGTACATCTTTGTATTCATGCTGGCCGGTAGACAATGATTTCTCAAAGTTAAAAATTGAAATGACATATCCTATTAAAATTTTAACATAATTTCCAAAGTTTTACTAAATCGAATAATGTCAATGAAGTAGGTGCGTTTTATGGTCGCACGCAAATGAGAAATCCTCGTCGATCAGCCCCAAAGTGTTTTAACCATCCATCATAATTCTTGCTAGACGTAGCGACGAACGATAACTACCATCAACAAATCGAGAATTACGCTACGGAAATGTTACCGCCAAACGTTCCGCCACCAAACTTGCCGCCGAAAAACCATTATCAAACCCCCGTAGCGCAAAGTCATCATCGTCAACCACAGTACCAGCAGGAGTATCGTCAAGAAGATTATTATCAACAGCCAAAATACGAGGAATATCCAAAAAATGCCAACTATCAGAACTATGGTAGCCAGAAAATTGGCAGAATCCAAGATTATGACCCACTCATTGATGCGCCTAGAGCGCCTTTGAATGTACAGAGAGCGTCGGCCACTTTGATTTACTCGAGCGATGGAAAACGAGGTAGGTGTTATGGATACGTGTAGCTTTAATTTTGTCTATTACAGGTTTTTTAATTTCTTCGGTGGATTTTCTTTGGCCACATTTTTTTAATTTAGCTTTTTGTGTTTTTGGATCTGGTGTTGGTATCATCCTTTCATGATTGGTTTTTAGATTATGTGACATTTAAGTTTTGGTTATTACCTAAAGGAAGGGAAATAAGTAAGCCAGTATTTTTTTTATTTATCTACTAGCGACACACCCTTGCTTCGCTCGGGTTCGTCCCTAGCTTGATTCCCCATACAAACGTTCATCCCCATTTTCAACCTTTTAAGGGATGATATCCTATGTCCTTCCCAGGGTCTCAAACTATCTTCTTACCAAATTTCATCTGAATCGGTTCAGTAGATCCAGAGATTACCCCCTACAACGTCACAAACTTACAAACTTTTCCTCTTTATAATATTAGTATAGATTATTAGTTTTTAAAATAAAATATAAATAATAGATATTAAAATAAATATAACTTTTAGGAAAAAATAGTTTTTTATTTTTTTTTATTTTGAATACGTTGAATAATTTACGTGATGTTATTCATTTTGTTTCTTATGCTAGTATTATAAAAGATTTTATTTCACATAACCAAAACATATCATGTATATAAAACATATAATTAATTCAATAGTTTACGCTACTGCGGTACTCTCGGTGTACGTATCGCACTTAGGTTTTATCTAACTCAGTCAATTTTTACATATATTTTTTTTTAATTTAATTGTCAGTATGCAAATCCGTGAGGATACAACCACCAGTTAGTCTTCTAAAAATACTATTTGGTTACAATATTGCAATACAACAATTATCTACTTATTCTACGTGAGATCGAACCAGACATTAGTCCAACACTTAATATCTACAAAGTATTCCGTGATGGAATAACAGCTATATACATGATTCATACAAACACAGGTGCCCATCAATCTCAGCAACAGAGCAGTCGGCACATCGGCCGCGTGACCGATCTGGACCCGCTCGCAAACGAACAGCCACACAACCATCGCCTGCCCAGCCATAACCAGGTATTTTAACACTATGGTTTAGTGGCTAGCATGTACGGCTGCACACCTGGAGGTCCTGGTTTCGAGTCCCGGGTCGGGCCAAGTTTAGTTATTGAGTCTTTCTGTATAGTAAGCTTCAATATCAGCCCGGAGTTGGGAAGATGACGGTGTTTCACCCCCGTGCCTCGGAGAGCACATAAAGCCGTTGGTCCTGCGCCTTAACCCTGACCGGTCGTGTCGAGCAGTCGTCCCACCAGAGTATGAGAGTGACAGGAATAGAGAGTGCACCTGTGTCTGCGCGCACATTTGTGCACTATAATATCTCATGCGTAGTTAGCTATTCACAATGAGATTGGCCTGGACAGAGGACATTATTATTATGGCAAAATGATACTATGATATTTTATTTTATTGCACTATATTCTATTTCAGTATAACACTATCATACTACACACTATACTACGACACTATCATTATGATATTCTCACTATAATATCATTATACAGCCGTGTAATTTAATAGAGAAAATATTCAAAATTGTATTTTTGCTTATAATTTTTATAAGCAGTGTTTTTTAGTTTGTGTTATAAAGATTTATTTAGTATATTTTTAATTTTAGTATAGATTTATCAGAGATGAAATATTATCCCGCAGTAAAAAGTATCCTGTATATTTACCCAGATATCCAGCTATCATCATACCAAATTTCATCAAAATCTGTCCAGTGGTTTTCTCGTGATGAGATCACAGACAGGCAGACTAACAAAAATTCTAAAAACTATAGATTGGGCCTCCGTATCGATAATAATGACTGTTTCAATAAGATTTTCCAAAAAATATTTAATGTACAAATTCGACTCAGTTAGGATTTTATTTTATGTATACGAGTATATGATTTAAAGAAAAAATGTATATTGTTTTATGTTTACAGAGAGTGTTTATCGCCATGTATGACTACGAAGCGAATGACAGTGATGAGGTGAGTTGTAGACACCGACTTTATATTGTAGAACATACAGTCATACACCGATAAATTACGTAAATTAAATTATAATTAAATAAGTAAATAGAAATCAAATTAATTTATTATGTAAAGAATAATTTTAGTCCGAATTTTTCACGATTACTTAACAATGATATGGAAAAAGACATTGTAATTAATAAATATTGGTATGTACTCGTGTCATGCAGATAAATAGCTAATTTGTTTAAATTTCATTTGACCAATAAATTAATCGGCAGATGTTCGAAAGGCCAGTCTAGCAAATGTTATATTAAAAAAAGATAAGATTTTCCAAAAAATATTTAATGTACAGATTCGTCTTAGTTACAATTTTATTATATGTATACAGTATAGATATTATTGTTATTTATTCACAGGTGTCATTCCGCGAAGGCGATTACATTTCTAACGTCACATCTATCGATGAGGGATGGATGACGGGGCAAGTCTTACGTACTGGACGCACAGGAATGTTGCCAGCAAATTACGTCGAGCTCGCCCCTGAACCACATTACAACTGATAAACACACGGATAAATATATATACATACATAGTATATATCTATCACACTATTTACATACAACACTATTAATAATTACTTTTACACTATGATTAATTATATGTCACACTATCTTTTATAATGTCACTGTGATTAAGGAATAGTGTTTTGACTTTTGATATTCATATTATGGATTTTAAAAAATATACTAATAATACTATATATGTGATTTGTCATTTTATTATTATTATTTGTAATTTATATATTACATATAAATTATATAAATTGAAATAAATTTAAATTTTTCGTTATGGTACAGTGGGTAATGTGTGTCTGATATTGCCTGTTACTCAAGTCATGGGTTCGATTTTTATACAATTTGAATTAATTTTGCAACGATTATACAATATTGTGAAATTAAGAAGTGATGAAAAATGGATCAATTGTTATTTTTGCTTCATAATTTTTCTCTGCTTTTTATTGTTTACATTTGAAAAACATTATAACGTCCATTACAAGACTACACTATTTACACTAGCACTGTAATGACACATTATCACTATAGTTTTTGTATAAATGGTAAAAATTAAATGGTTACTTTCCAATATTTATTTTATTGAGGACCAAAACTCACAGAAAAGTATTTTACAGTCATTCCACTTTTAACGCATTTGATTTGTTTTTTTTTAAATATATTTCACGGAGATTATTTGGCTACTTAAATTTTAAGATTATTTTAAATAAAATAAATATTTTTTTTTTGTACCTGGTCACACCGCAGGTTTCACTTTTACACAATGTAAATAATTTATATTTAATTTTAGATATACATACAGATGTATTGCACTATTTAGATATATATCACTTTTAATACAAAAGTGGCCTAACACATCACATACAACAAAAAAATCAAAAATCCTATATTTGAACACTGTTTGTATTTATGTAATAATAAAAACAAACAAACAAAAAATCAAATCTATCGTCTTTATAATATTAGTATAGATTTTTAATATTCATATGTTATGTTAATATAAAAAAAACTATATATAATACATAAATGTATGGCCATATCAATGTTAGTTTTTTTTAAGTTAAGCCACTTTTGCATTGAAAGCAACAAACATTATGATGGAAAATCATATTTTTTTTATATATTTCTTTATAGAATTAAATTTTACGTATGATAAAATTACAACCATACATAATATATTATTCACATTCCGTTTTCTTACACAGAAGTGTTTCATTTAGAATTTTCAAAATGTCGTCATTTTTTAATATTTTAGTTGGTAAAATAATGCATAATAATAATCTATATGGATTATTATTTTTTTGTCAAATATTTTCTTTATATAATTTACATTAAAGATAAATATATTTTTCTGTCTGTACGTTTCATAATTATGTTTAAAACATCGCATTTTAGATTCAAGTAAAAATGTTTTATTTTCATATACATACATATATGTGTGTATTTATAAAAACCATGGAGCATAGAAGTAATAATAATACATTGCCAATAAGTAGGTTTTTTGTTTATAATTGCTTATTTTACTGTTAGAGGATGGTTAGCTGTAGTCACTTTTATTTTCTTATTTATTATTATTTACTTCAGTCCGTTGTATTTGATATAAACCTGATTTTATAATCAAAATGGCGGATTTTAGCCGATTCTTGTTGTTATTGTATGCATCACAAACATGGTTTAAATACGAGCGAGATACACAAAAATTGATTATATTATTGTTTTGATTATAGAAGTGGATGATTATGATTCTGATTATGATAGTATCTTCGTATATTCTGACTTATTTAAAATCGAAAATCAATTATTTTTTTGCTATATAGCTGGTTTCTTACTAAACATTATTTTTTTGTCACTTCTATAATAGTTTACTGTACGAAATTGTCTAAGGCCTTTTATAGTTCTCGCTCTCTTTATAAAGATCTTATGTAGGGAACAGTATTATGCCGACCCGATGTTACAGTGCCTTTGTAATATTTAATAAATTTTAAGCAATATCTCTTTCTTTTATTTTATACCATCTTACAAGATTTTTACGAAAAGAAAACATGAAGTATAAATAATATTTAAATATATTTAATGGATTTAAGGCGGGATTAGCTTTAAAAAATTTAGACTTCACATTTTATACTTTCAGTTCTAATGAATACTTTTTTTTAAAGTAAGTTAGTCTTTAATTTCTAAAGCAAATATTATGCTACATAGAATCACAGATGACAACCATCCTGGATTAGCTAACTGTAAACTATTTCATTTTATAAATGTAAATATTTGTGTAATGTAAATTATTTTAAATATTGTAAAATTAATGAACACAAATTTCAGTTGCCGTGATAAGAAAAAACTCAAAAAGTAGCGCCATCTATGAGTATGCCCTAAAAACCTGATACCTGATAACTGATTGCTGGGTTAATAATAATCTATAATAATAAAAAAACTGAATTTACTAGAGCATTATATTGTTTTCCTTAACTTAGAGTATTTTTTGAAACAATAACTTTTTTGAGATCTATTGAGATAATCTTTTGTCAAATCAAATATTTAGAACAGTAACATAATTCGTTGGCTTCTATTTTAATTTTAATGAAGTTTAATAATTTTTACATAGAACTTCGTTATTTTATTATCGTAAAAAAACAACATAGAACTATGTAAAATTGAATATTTTGTAGTTAAAGTGCCGCTATCTAGTGGTTTGTTTTTGAAAAACTGTAGCTAATGACACATAGAACCTTGTAATAGTGAGCCAACGAATTATGTTGACCTTAAAATATAAAAACGTAACTTGCGTATAACATGATGAAGATATGACTTGATTAACGACTCACCCTCAAACTATCTTCTTACCAAATTTTATCTAAATCGGTTCAGTAGTCCCAGAGATTACCCTCTACAACCTCGCAAACTTTACCTCTTTAATATTAGTATAGATGTATACGTTAGCCAAATATGAGAGAACTTGTGTGTGAAAATTAGCCAAGTCAAATGTCGATCTTCATTTTACCCTTTTTTTTAACGTTGGGAAATGCATTTACACACGAGGTGTGGGTCTCACCGGCAAAGCCAGTACTACCCACTAAAACCCAACAAAACCTTCCCCCGTCTTAATGGGGCGTCGCGGGATCGCTTACGCATTCAACTACGACGCCCCGACGGCAGGTCTGCCGAAGCAGACCACAACAACCATGGGGTTGCTCCAAAGTCCACTCTGCTATCAGAGAAGTACCAGGAGCAACCCGCATGGTACACCGCCCACCGCGCACCACCCTGTTCGTTTTTTGACTTCGCGTCCGGCTGAATTGCCGGGCACTACTGAGCCCCCTCCACCACGACAAGGTGAACGCACGTTGAGAGGAATCTTCATTTTACATAAGTTATCTAAACTTAACGTAAAATGGCAAAATTGTTCCACATATAGATTTTTATTATTAATCTATGTTATGGAATATGGACTATGAGGTCACACCAAGCGCGCGAAATGGCGGTCCTTTAAAGTATTTGTATCGGTATACTTTAAAAAAAATGTATACTCATTTTTAGATTTCTGGTGTTGAAATTTTTTTTACAACTATAATACGATGTAAGCTATTGTACAAAAAGAAATCACGTATATTCCCTATTGGACAAGTAAGTTTTCATATATGATATTCAATATACCTTTATAAACAAAATTACAAACTTTCTCATCAGACATTATTCATTGTAAAGTTTGTATGTATGTATGTGTTATGAATTTGTTACTCCATCGAGCTAAAAAGGCTTGAGACGGATTAGGATGAAATTTAATGCACAGATAGGCTATCACCTGGAGTAACTATGAGCTTATTATTAGGTAATAACCTATATATTTTTATATGTTTTTTCCTTAGTGTTTTAGAATACTATTTATTCATTAATTTTTATATAATATATACAAACTATTCTGAATTTTTAACACATATTTGGTATTTGACAATTGAATATTGTATTCAGTATCATTGTAAATACAAGATGGCCGCCACCACAAAATGGCGTATTGTACATCTTTTCACAATCCCCTCAATATGGGTATCAAATGAAAAGGCTTTATAAGTAGAATACAATGCATAACGGGTCGTAAGAGTTTAGACAGTTTAATATTTAAAAAAAAATATTTTTTACTATTTTATTTATTTAGTTTTTACGACATGAAATTCCCATAGTAATAGTCAGGAGTTGAGACGTATGTAGCTTTGTGGATCACGTGCGGGGGCAGAGCATAGAAAATGGACGCTCCTTCGCCTGATCTCTCACCAATTACGTCGAACTGTCGTCCTACCCTAGTGTGGGTGACAGCAACAGAGAGTGCACGTTGTGGCTGCACTATACTATCTCCTGCAATCAGCTAGTCTCAGTGAGATTGGCCGCCGTGTCCAAATTTGTAACATTGTTATAATGCTGCAAGCAAGGCTCGAATCCTCGACTCCTATAGGTATAGTAAGACCCTCTTTTATTGTATTTTTTGTTTATAATTAAAAATAAGATTTATGTACTGTTTTTCGATGTTTTAAGTATTTCTTTAATCATTTTGTACCTAAAATGATCTTCGTTTTTAATCATGCTGAAACGGCTGGACCGACTTGAGATGAATTTTAGAACACAGATAAGTTACCTGGATCAACACAGGCTACTGGTAGGCATCTAGGAACACTCGAACCCTATTTTGTTATTATAAAATAAAACACCACAAACTGTAATACATTTATTGACTAAAACACGTTACACTAACTAGTATTAGGATAAAACATTGTATAGAACCTAAAAAAATATATATGTATATAATACTCCATAATGCAACGAGCGCTGTATTCCAGGCACTTTGAAGGCACCGATCGATAAAACTAAAATATACTTAAAAATTAAATTTAACCAAAAAAACTAAATATGGAAGGATATTGCCAAAATAATTTCAATAACGAATGGTTTACACAAAACATAAACATACAAACGGCTACCTAAAACTAATTTTACAT